CAAGATGAGCTGCCACAATCGTCTGTGGTTGTCCAAATTTCCTCTCTAGAGTTTTCAAAGCGTCCTTGTAGAATACTCCACTGTAAGCGAATTCGGCAATTGCATTCTTCGCTTTGCCTGAAACGAGAGTTTTGAGATATGTCAATTTGACATCATCACTTAAAACTTTTGCATCGATTGCACTTTTGAACTGACCAAACCATTCAGGCCACTGCAATGGATTTCCGTCGAAAGAAGACAATTTCCATTCAGGCAAGGGACCTTTCTGGCTCAGTGTCAAGATTTCAGCTAGATCTTGATTTGTGATTGGTTTACTGTTCGAGGACGTAAATGGGCCATATTGTTTGTTCTCATTTGTATAAGGCGCCATCAGCGGTTTTGAATAGATTGCGGCGTCTAAAGCTTTAGGATCACCGACATAAAAAGTTGTTCCTCCGCTAGAGAACGGTTGAACATTCGATGGCTGTGTGACATAATATGAGTTAGGGGAGAAGGTGACTGTTGGAGGATTGAGAGGACCAACGTTAGTTGGTAAAAGCGGTTGGTACACAAAATTTGCGGAATTGCTTGGGAAAAAGGTTTGTTGAGCAATGGGCATTGAGCTCGTCGGGATATTAGAATGATGAAAACTACTCTCGACACGATTGACGGTTAAAACGGTTGAACGGGCGAGACGAAAACGGTGTTTTCCGATTTTGCTCTAAATTCGGGCAAAAAAAAAAAAAAAATTTTTTTTTGTCAGTGAAAGTTTTGGGAAAAGTTGGAATAACTTTTTTTTTTCGAGTAAATTTTTTTTTTGAAAATTTTTATTTATTTTGCGAAAATTTTTTGGAAAATTTTCTGAATTTTTTTTTTTCACAAAATTTTTTGAGTTCGAGACTATCCTGGGGTAATAGGGTACTGGGTATGAGCTGGGATTAGGTATCTAGTACGGTCTTAATCGGTTTGCAATTAACAACATCGTATGAAATTTTATAGCACTGATAATCAAAAAAGTAGCACTTTTTTCGATTAAAAAACTAGCACAAATTAGATTCTAAAAGTTAGTTGAAAGCACAGGTTCGCTCTTACAAGTTTTTTGAAGGTAGTTCACCGGGCCTGAGTCCAAAAGTACACGAAGATTCCACAGAAAAACCACTTTCCGCCTTGTGTGATGTCGGCCTTCTGGCTTGTCGGCTTTGTTTTGACTTGTGGTGCTTTCCCCGTTTTTGGCTTGAGGTCACACGAAATTGTGGAGGGCTCCTTGATTTGGAGAATGAGGTCGCTCAAAATTGTGCAGGGGTCGTTCCTTGCTTCAATTTGAGGTCGCACAAAATTGTGCAGGGGTCGTTCCTTGCTTCAATTTGAGGTCGCACAAAATTGTGCAGGGGTCGTTCCTTGCTTCAATTTGAGGTCGCCTAAAATTGTGTTCGAGCTGGGCCTTCTTTCAAAAATTCAAAAATTGAGGTCACACAAAAGTGTGCAGGGCTCCTTGCTTTGCAGATGGAGGTCTCACAAACTCCCGAGTCGCGGCACTAAAATATTCTGGCCTTTTTTATAACTTTTTTATAACTTATAAAAACAGGAAACAGAATCGGTTTAATTCAAGAGAATCAATAAACGGCGAATTTTAGTAATTTTTATTGCACGGAATTAGCAACAACATTACACGTATCAAGTTAAAAAGTGGGCTTGTTCATGCCCTGATTTGTGTGATTTATGTGTTTTTTCACAATGAGTTCATACTTAGTTCACGCAGTTTAATTAACAGAAACTCAATTGCAAACCAATTTTGAACCGATTAAAATATTAGCATTTTATGTTCTGTCAGGTTCGGCTCAAATAGGATTCTCAAACGAAACGACTTAGGTGAGAATCGAACCCACGCCGAACTCCCCGGAACGCACTATGTATACGCTGAGCTATATAGCTGATATTGCTAAGCAACTATACTGGCTTTATACTATACTTTCATACTTTAATGCTATGTAGCATTAACATCCTCCACCCCCGAAGGAGCGAGAACCGGAACGATCTTAACGAGCGGCCGAGTGTAGTTTCCGGAAACAGTCCTTAGGTTTGCGGAGCGGGCGGTGTTGTCTTTGCCGTAGTTTAGCGACGTTATGCGTGCTAGTGGGTAGTGGCCCCTAGGGCTAGTGGATTCAACTAACCACACCATATCTCCCGTTTTCAAAGAGTATTCGGGAGGAGCATGCCACTTAACTCTTTTATTGAGTGTAGGGACGTACTCACTTAACCATCGCTGCCAAATTGCGTTTGCGTACGACTGCGCACGGGCATAGCGCTTAGAGTGAGAATAGTTTTCACTCGACCTTAGAGACGGAAACGTTAGACTGTGCTGACCTAAGAGGAAATGATTCGGCGTCAAAGCCTCAAGACTATCGGGGTCGTCAGAAACGGGAGTGAGTGGACGGGCGTTTAGTGAACCTTCAACTAGGCACATGGTTGTGTTCAAAATCTCGTCAGTCAACTTTCTTGACCCTAAGATTGCATAAAACACACGCTTACAACTACAACTGCGCACGATTCGCTCCCATGCTCCACCTTGATGTGGTGCACTTGGCGGATTATACTTCCACTTAATGCCTTTGTGTACGAGCGACAAAGGAGCTTCTGCGTTCCAATTTTTGATGCACAGAAGAAGCTCTTTTTCGGCTCCTACAAAGTTTGTTCCGTTGTCCGACCAAATTATTGAGGGTGTTCCTCGCCTAGAAATAAAGCGCTCGATAGCCATCACACATGAACTTGTGTCCATGGATGGAACCAACTCAATGTGAATTGCGCGAGTCGTTAAGCAAGTAAATAGAAAACCCCAGCGTTTCTCGGAAGATCGACGAATGGTTACATGAAATTCGACTTTTTAACTAGCCATTTTTGATAGAATTTTTTTATATCATTCGAAAGCTATTGTTGTCCTGTGCCTAAATTTGAAAAGATATTTCACCTGTGATCATTTTTCGTAGTAAAATTATGAGGGTTTAAAGATTGCCATTTTGATTGACCAATTTGGGACAATTAACGCGCGATATATTTCGCGCTATTAACGCGTAAGCGTAGATTTAATCCGCATTAACGTTCCAAATTGGTTCAAGAAAGCTTAAATGCCATAATTGATATAATAATAGCAGCGAAATCTATCCTTTTGTACTTAATATGGCGTGTGGGGGGATGATTTTAATTTAAAAAATCATATTTAAAAAAAAAAAATTTCATTTTATTTTATTATGTTCAAATTCTTTTTGTTATTACTGCTTATGAAACCTCAAACGGCAGTCGGAACATTCAGGGCTTCGCCCTGATACGAGCAGTCTTGTCTGTACTTGGTTTAGTTTTACGTAAAAGGTGTTACTCGATCACTCATTTTTTAAAAACTCAGCGACGTATTTTTTTTCTTCAAAAGTTGCATAATGTTCTAGAGAAAGTCCACTCTTTTTGAAAAGTCGATGAATGTAGTGAACTGAACATTCTTATATAGGTCGCATTGATTTCAAATTTCTTTCGGAACTCTTAAAATTTGTTTTTTCTTGAACTTATTTATTTAAAATTGGGTTCTTTGCATCGATGAAACTACAATTTCTGAGGAACCCGGAGATTTTGTTCTGCTCGATCAATTCAATAGGTTTATTGCAACAAATGGGTTTATGGGTGTGTTGTGCTAGCAGCATGATTTTTGTTGAAAATTTTTATTAATTAAGAGAGTTCAACTCAACTCCTATCTAATCCATTAAAAATTTTACCATAGGACGAAATGGAACAGAACGGAACGGAATGGAGCAAATAGGATGGAACAGAAAGTTGAGATGCGAAGAAAAATGAGGTTTTTTATCCGATACAAAGAATAAAAAAGCGCAGTTTTACTGATATGGATGGAAATCTGCAATAATCCTCTCAAAATTGTGAAATAAAAAGTGGGTAGGAGTTGCGTGAAAAAATTTCCCTTTTTGCGCCTTGACAGTGAGGTGTTTTTATATGTGCGCGTTACCAACGGATCGATTTGTTGTAACTGCTATTGGATTCTTTAACTTTCTTTATCTAAGTTTCTTTAACTAACCAACTGGCTTTAACTTAACCAGCCAACATTTTTGAACAAGAAAAGTAAAACTATATAAATTACTTTTCTCTATAAATTTTTAAAATCTTCGTTGCAAACAAGCGCATATGTTACTTGCAAACATTTTGAAAATCTTTGCTTAAGGCGTGAAAAAAATAATTTGCCTAAGTGACAATGTACAGGGAATACACACAGACAGAGTTCGCGTGGTTTTTTGTTTATTTTTTAAGAGGAGATAGTATTTAAAATTTTTTCACGTTCATCAACAATTTTTTCACGTTCATCAACAATTTTTTCATCAACAATTTTTCCGAAAAGAAAAGCTCACTTGATCAATGTAAAATGTCTTCCGTTCAATTCGGACTGACACTATTTGCTTGAGGGCGGGGAGTGGGGGCAATTAGACAATATTTACCAGTCGCATGACTTTTCCCTGGCGTATGACTCATTAGCAGCTAGAGTCGACAAAATGTTTGATATTTTTAGAACCCCGCCCCATTTGAGAAAATCTCAGATCCGCATCTGGTTTCAACAAATACGCAAATTGCCGGCGCAAATAAATATTGAGCCAGCAAAAAATATTATTGTGTTTGAAATAATTATATTAGTTCATAAACTTATTGCTGGGATGAATTAGCTCTTCTCTTTCTGTAAATAAAAAAGAACACATGGAGTCCTCAATGTTGATAACAACAAATATAACTTAAGTACATTATGCATTATAGCTATTACCGAGAAAGTGTAAATTGTTTTTATTGATTTGAATGAAGCACATTAAAGGAATAATTTAAACAACTAAGTTGATTCTCACGAATAGAATAGTTAAATGTCCCTTTTCAAGCAAAATTTTCTTTAACATGTATGAATAACAAGGTTAATTTGAAAATTAATTGCTTATATGAAATATATTCTTCCTCTTCTTTCAATAAACGATCGTCTCTTTTTTCAGGAATTTCTGCGTCGTGGTGGAAAGATGAGCACATGTATCACCACGCACTGACATGTATAGTGGACTTTGCCAATAACTTCTTCGACCCCCAGATGAAGGAGGAGGTGTGGGCTCAGTCGCCCAAACTGTTTCCCTTCTTCCGCGCCACCCGACCCAAACTCAACTACATACTAATCAAGGTACGCCACACGCATATTACATTTTTAGCTCATACACCTTTTTAATGTCAATGAAGGAAGTTATTTAATCGGGTGATTTTTTACTTTTTTTCCATGAAAAGGTCTCAAAAAAGGTTCACGCTCAAAACAATCGGTCTTTATTCAGTTTTTTGAGTGCGTTTACCCTCACTTTTCTTACTTCGTTTTGCTTATGACTGCTTGTTATATTAATAAGCAATCGTCAAATTTTTCCGCTCTGAATTTTTAAAAACAGTTTAATCGTACAGTTTAATAACAAGACTACTTGTATCAGGGCGAAGCCCTGAATGTTCCAACTGCCTTTTAAGGTTTATGGAGCAGCAGTAATAACATAAAAAATTAAATGAAACAAAATAAAATGAAAATTTTTTTTTCTAAAAATTGAAAATTTTTATGAAAATTATCCCCCACACGCCATATAAAGTACAAAAAGATAGATTTCGTTCCTTGTAACAAATCAATTATGGCAAATAAGCTTCGTTTAACCAATTTGGAACGATTTATAAGACGGATTAAATCTCCGCTTACGGGTTAATAGCGCGAATTATATCGCGCGTTAATTGTCCCAAATTGGTCAAAATGGGAATCTTTAAACCCTCATAATTTTACGAAAAATAATCACAGGTGAAGTATCTTTTCAAATTTAAGTTCAGGATAACAATGGCTTTCGAATGATATAAAAAAATGGCTAGTTGAAAAGTCGAAATTTGTCTGAAGAAAAAAAAACCCACCCCGAGCACAAATATTCCGTTACTTTCGTATCGAAAGTCGGAACAATAAAAAATTGTCGGCTCATTTTACTCGAACTGACTTTTTTGATGAAGAAGAAAAACAGGTTTTTGAAGATGATAATAAAATCATATGAAACCTAATACATTCATATAAAAATTGCGTTGTTGATTACAGATTCAACATATCACGTTCATCACAAAACTAAACCAAGTACAGAAAATTTGTCAATACGGTGGGTCTATTCCGCTAAGTAATCTGAAAATTTAAATCCACAAAAATCTGAGAATTCGAACAAATGTCACTAAAACTTCTTCGCGTTTATTGTTCCGACTTTCGATACGAAAGTAACGGAATATTTGTGCTCGGGGTGGGTTTTTTTTTCTTGAGACAAATTTCGACTTTTTAACTAGCCATTTTTGACGGAATTTTTTAATATCATTCGAAAAGTATTGGTGTTATGAGCTCAAATTTGAAACGATATTTCACCAGTGATCATTTTTCGTAAAGTTATGGGGGTTTAAAGATTGCCATTTTAGCCAATTTGGGACAATTAACGCGCGATATATTTCGCGCTAATAACGCGTAAGCGGAGATTTAATCCGCCTTAGAAATCGTTCCAAATTGGTTGAAAGAAGCTCATTTGCCTTCTGTGCTATTTATGAAATGATTTATTACAATGAGCGAAAAGTATTCTTTTGTATTTTGTATGGCGTGTGGGGGGATGATTTCATTAAAAAAAAATTTCAAATTTAAGAATTTTTTTTTTCATTTTATTTTATTACATTTAAATTTTTTATGTTACTGCTGCTCCATAAACCTTAAAAGTCAGTCGGAGCATTCAGGGCTCTGCCCTGATACGAGCAGTCTTGTTGTATTTTCTAATTGGAGCGCGTACTTTGTCTTCCTTTTAGCAAGGGAAAGTGAATTGAACTAAAAAATAAATCAAAATCAAACTGCAAAAAAATCAAAAATTGTTGTGCTCAAGTTTTAGGACGTTTCTTGAAAACAAAAAAACTAGCCTAAAAAAACTCCTTCATAAAACTTCGTAATTTTGCACCGTTGAATTAACTATTCTCTTTACATATTCCATACGGATTTTAATTTCTTTGGCTCTACTCTAAGTTAAACAAGACTGCTCGTATCAGGGCAAAGCCCTGAATGTTCCGACTGCCTTTAAAGGTTTATTGAGCAGCAGTAAAAACATTAAAAAAATTAAACGCAATAAAAAAAATGAAATTTTTTTTCTAAAATTTGAAATTTTTTATGAAAACCAACCCCCACACGCCATATTAAGTAAAAAAGGAACGATTTTAAGACGGATTAAATCTCCGCTTACGCGTTAATAGCGCGAATTATATCGCGCGTTAATTGTCCCAAATTGGTCAAAATGGGAATCTTTAAACCCTCATAATTTTACGAAAAATAATCACAAGTGAAATATCTTTTCAAATTTAAGTTCAGGATAACAATGGCTTTCGAATGATATAAAAAAATTCCGTCAAAAATGGCTAGTTAAAAAGTCGAAATTTGTCTGAAGAAAAAAAAACCCACCCCGAGCACAAATATTCCGTTACTTTCGTATCGAAAGTCGGAACAATAAAAAATTGTCGGCTCATTTTACTCGAACTGACTTTTTTGATGAAGAAGAAAAACAGGTTTTTGAAGATGATAATAAAATCATATGAAACCTAATACATTCATATAAAAATTGCGTTGTTGATTACAGATTCAACATATCACGTTCATCCCAGTGTGTATGCTACTGGGCCGAACATCCATCATCATCGACAGTTTCCACCTGGAAAAGCGATGGTATGAGTGGGCGGGTCTCTTGCTACACCTCACTTGGCTAATCACTCTCCTCTCCTTAATACCCACCTGGGAACAACTCGTCTTCTTCTACTTCTGGGCCCAGACCCTTCAGGGAATCCTTCACGTCCAGCTCCTGTCCAATCACTACTCGAAGGAGTTCAACGACCGAGACCAAATCATCACCGACTGGTACCGCAAGCAGGTGTTGACAAACATCAATATCGTCAACCCCGTCTGGCTTGATTTCTGGCACGGGGGTTTGAATTTCCACATTGAACACCACTGTTTTCCCAGAGCGCCGAGGAACCGACTTCGTGAGATCTCGTATCGTATTAAAGACGTGTGCAAGCAACATAACGTGCATTACGACGAATGCGGGTCGATCGAAGTTCTGAAGAGGACTCTGGTCCATCTGAAAAAGACAGGCGACCTGTTTGCCCTTAAAGACCCTAGATAACTTAAAAGTATGTAATTGAAATTGAAATTATTGCAGATGTTAGTGTGCGTCCGGTCAAGTTAGCTTTTTCATTCTAACTGTATAAAAATGCCTAATAGAATGTAAAGCTATATTTGTTGTACATAATACTTAAGTAGGCGTTGACGTGCAAACTCAGTACTTTAACGTTTTAGACTTATCTAATGCTTCTTGACTTGCTTTGGATATTAAAAATGATGCTCCAATCGCGTAAAAGTATCAATTTGCTACAAATTAATTTTCTAAATTTCCAAATTTAAAAGACTATATTTTATGAAAAGAATTGACATGTGAAACATTTGTTTATTCTATCGCACAGTTTCTCAATGCAGCAAACCATTTTTTCTTTCAATTTCCATATATTTTGAGTTCGAGTCAAGTGCATTTGTCTATGTTAAAGTTCGAGTCGAGATGAGAAAAAAATGCTGTAAAGTCCTGCCGAGGCAAAGTCGAGACGTGTTTTGACATGATTTTACTGCATCTTTATCTGGTGTTCTTACTTGATTTTGTGACAGATTCTCGCGACTTTCTTACGCTCTCTCAACAGATACTCACAGCAGCCCAGATGAATAGAAATCCCCTGCCGTAGAAAAAAAAAAGAAGATAATTGAAGCTGATAAGCCTAAATGTTTTGTTTGTTGAACAAAAAATTTAGGCTTTGTTGCCCAAGTTTCTGTTTTCGGCGGGGTAATGAACAAAGTTAGTGTTTTTGCTCGAAGAACTCATATTAAATCCCTAGCTATTAACAAAATAATGCAAAGTTGAGAATTTAGTGCACATTTAATCATTAGCTAAGTCTCTGTGACGACAAAAAATCGATGTCTGTGAGGACAGTTCTGCGAATCAGTGTCAATGGACGAATTGATGACACCAATGGATGTCGTGTGGTCTTTAAGAGTCGATGAACGTAGTTCAGACATTTATACAGGTTATGATGGTTTTTTTGTATTTTTTCAGGAAAAATCTTAAAATTTGTTCAGGCTCATTTACTTTTCATTTCTTTCTAATCTCATTTTTCCCTATTGTTCAAAGGAAAACAAACTTCACTATCGAAAAGCGAACGGCAGAAATTAACGAAAAACGGCATCAATTTCTAATTTCAAAAATGGTTTTATTTATCAGTTGTCCCAGCGAAGTAAAAAATTTACCTATTGATCCACTTTTCTACCAATTTTTGCAACAATCCGCTTATGTGAACAAAATTTCACCTGTAAAATTTCTCTTGTGAAGAAAAAGGAGAAAAAGCCTCCGATTGTCATGAAAATTGACAAGCAGACTGATTAGGCCATAAAAAACAGATTTGGTCTTCATAATCAACCTTGAAAAACCGCTCGTTAGACTATAAAAATGATGCTCGTGTGAGGTAGAGGGAGAGAAAAGAGGCTAATTTTATCAATGAATTGTTTTAAATTTTAGCGCCATACATTTTTTCTTCACAATTCGATAGTTAACACTTTTTCATAAAGAAGTAGTATTTTTTTCGGTTTATTTGCGTTCAATGTCTTTTTTCCAACTATCTGTTGGCTATGTGTTTTGTTTTTCAGAAAAAAGTCTAGGTTTTTGCTCAAGGTATTTGAATGCTATTTCTTGTTCCCTTCCCTCCTTTCATTTTTTGTTACAAGACTTAAATGTCCCATTTTTAGGAGTTCCATTCACAATGCCAAACAAAAGATTGAATCGTTCTCAAAAACGATTTCGAAAAAGTAGACTGGTCCATTTAATTTCAACTCTGCCTCAAATACTCATTCATGCTTTAGTGTAACAAAGAGTCTTGCAAAGTTAAATTTAAAAACGAAATATGTTGTCATGGCTTAACTAGTCCGCATGTCAGTGTTTTCAAATAATCGGACACTGTGAATGAAAAAGTTACTGTATTCTTTGGCATATGGTGAGAAAAAACCATATCTGTTTATGTGTTAAAATAAGTGAACTGGTGTCAATGAATGATGTGAGGACACTTAACTTAGGTCTTGATGACTAATTCCCGTTTTTTTTAATAACATCAAGTCTTAAAGTTTGATCACGCCAAAGACTGACTTTTGGAAATTTGCCTTTCGATTTCTTTGCAAGTTAATTTTTTATTCAAGGCAAAATACGCCGCTCTTCACTTATAAACACTTAGTTAGCGCAAACAAATTGAATTCAAATCTTTTTGAAAACGAATATCAATTTTTCGCTTTCTAAATGAAAAAAATATCTATTTATTCAGTGTTCTTAAACTGGGTTATTTTATGAAAAAAGTACCAATCATCAAAGTATCTTGAAAAACTATGAGTTTGGAGCGCTAATTGTTTTTTTCTACGAAATTCAAAAGTAGACAAAAGGTCAAAATTGATTCAATCAATTAATTTTTTTTGGTTTCCTTGCATTCATTAGCACTTTATCAACAGTTTTTTTTGGCTATATTGAACAATGTTTCTTGATAGTTTTAAAAAACTTATTTCTTTTTGAGCCTTGTTTTTTTTTAATAAAAACAAAGCTGTCAACGGTGAAAATTCATTGTTGTTCCGGCCATTTGAAAAATGAGGAGGACTTTTGTATTCGGATATGCTATAGTTTTTTCTTCGCAGAATCAGATACGACCAATAGTCATCGGAATGGGTCGATTGATAGATCAGACTGATGCCATCTCAGTGTCGAGAAAAACCGGTTTGAAACTTTTTATTTTTGGTATAAATTCGAGCGAATATGGTGAGCAAGCAGGCTTATTTTGTTTTTGAACAAAAAAATTTAACCCAAATAAGCATCGGAATGAGTCGATTGATATATCTTTTCAAAGGTCTTCAAAGTTGTCCCAGTTTTGCGAAAAAGTGGTTGGAAATTTTCTGGCCATTTCTGTTGATTTTTGCGACAAAACCGTGGCTCGATTTACTTATTTTACAGTGACTATCAAATATACCGAGATTTAGGTTTTTCAGAACAATTGATTACACCACGCGCAATAAAAACAACACTTATTTGAAGAAAAAAACACGAAAAAAAATGTTTTTGATTTTTAAAGGTGGTCAGGTTATTCTGTGCTTCTTGCTCAATATATATAGTGAATGTTTTTGATATTTAAAGAAGGTGGTCAGAATATTCTGTGCTTCTTGCTGAGCATATATATTACTTGCATATTTTGAAAAAAAAGCACGAAAAAAAGTTTTTGTTATTTAAAGAAGGTGGTCAGAATATTCTGTGCTTCTTGCTCAATATATATAGTGAATGTTTTTGATATTTAAAGAAGGTGGTCAGAATATTCTGTGCTTCTTGCTGAACATAAATATTACTTGCATATTTTGAAAAAAAAACACGAAAAAAATTTTTATTTAAAGAAGGTGGTCAGAATATTTTGTGCTTCTTGCTCAGCAACCGGCTATTCTTCTTTTAATTATAATCGTCTGTGCTTGTTTTTCAATTGGATTTTGACTTAATTTTTTGGTTCAATATCCAATTTTGACCGAGTTTGTGCGCGTTTGATTTTTTGTCAATATTGCTCAACAAGTACGCTCGTTTTTTTGAACATTGAAAACTAAACCAAAATTCAACGAGCTTTAGCACGTGTCTTGTTAAACAAGAAAAGAAAAGGAAAAAAAACAAAACAACAACAACCACAAAAACATTGACAACTATTGCAACTATTGCAAATATTGCAACTATTGCAACTATTGTAACAATTGCAACTATTGTAACTACTGCAACAATCGCAACTATTGCAACTATTCAGGAGTTTGTCAACCCCGACACGAAATGATGAGGAGAAGCGACAGATTGATAAGACCGCCGTCTTATTTTGGTTTTCGTGATCACTCGGAAGAAAATCCAAATGAGGACTCCGTTTCTGCGTCGCAGAGAGTTAGTGACGATGAACAAGAGGATTCATACAACGAAACCGAAGACCAAATAGAAAATGAAGAGTAACATACTGGGGCGACTCAACAGCTTCGTGTTATGACCCTCAGCGAGCAAGACCATTATCCTGTCGTACCCATTACAGAAAACATCACAAACTGTTTGTTTGACGCCTTTGTAGGGTCTCTCGACATATCTAAGGAAGTTCAAGAAATTGAATGGGGAACAGATGGACTGTGAGTGTGAACCTCCAAGGCAAACTGGTTTTATTCCCGGGGGAAACATTGGCCGTAAATACGTTGATCTTTTAACGAAAGAAGTCTGCCGATTGAACCAAAACAAATGTTCAGAACGACTTCTTGTAATCAGCCGATTAATCTTACAGCGGGACCCAATGATTAAAACCACACGTGATGTGAGAGCTTTGATAGGAAGACGACTTGAAGACTGGGAAAATAGTAAGTTCAATATTCTACTACAAGAAGCCAAACGATGTTCACAAAAACAACCGAGGAAAACTTTGAAAAAAAAAATAGATCTGAAGACGAGCACACCGCAGTGGTTTTTGCACGAATGATGATGGAAGGGAAAGTTCGGTCTGCCATGCGTTGGCTGACAAGCAGATCTGGCGGAGGTTTGCTCCATCCAAATGACGAAGTTATTGATTCCACAACAAAAACAAGAAAATTAGTCATTGACATTCTGAAAGAAAAACATCCCGTAGCAAAACAGTCAAAAGAAGAAGCAAGAATACAAATAGACAGCTTGCCTGAGTTAGAAACAGTAACCATCACTTCTTCTTATATAGAAAAATTTGCGAGGTCAATGCACGGTGGAGCCGGACCTTCAGGAACAGATTCGGAACACTGGAAAGACGCATTTCTTCGATTTGGTGGACATAATTCGGCTTTGTGAGACGTAGTGGCAGCGCTGATCACAAAGATAGCTAACGAAATTATTCCATGGAACCAAATACGAGCATTGATGTCAGATCGTCTGATCGCTTTGGACAAGTGCCCCGGAGTTAGACCCATTGGCATAGGTGAGTGTTTGCGAAGAATAATGTGTAAATGTATGGCCGAAGCGACCAAAAAAGATCTCGAAGAAACCTGTGGATCTCAACAACTAGCTTGTGGTGTGAAAGCAGGAATAGAAGGAGCTGTACACGCAGTGGAGGAGTTGTTTAATAGCACCAAAGAGGACGGACATGGTCTTCTATTGATGGATGCCTCAAATGCATTCAATGCATTGAACAGGGAAACGGCTCTATGGAATGCTAGAATACTTTGGCCAAGGTGCTCACGATTTCTTTTCTACACTTATAGAGGGTATGCGCCGCTAATTGTTGCAGGAACGACAGAACTTCTTTTCAGTAGTGAAGGCACTACACAGTGTGATCCACTAGCGATGTTATTCTATGGTGTTTCATTGATGCCATTGATTGAATCACTCAAAG